TTAGTAGCAGTTTCCCATCAAACAGCAGTATCCTTACTTGACATCATTAAAGCACCTTCCATACCATACCAGCATATGAGGAGTTAAGCTTCGTAACAGTCCTATGCATAATTGTAGAGGCACTGCATTAGTCTATTTAGCTCTACTTTTGGCTGTTCTGCCTGCAAGCTTCTATTATATCAATTTTACAGATGACTGTAGAGGTTAATTTACTTCTTCAACAAGCAACAGTGGGTGGGTGGCAAACCTGACATTATAGACCATGAGTCCCAGTCATCAGTCTCTCCCTGTTATACACATACCAAAGGAGAAGCGTCATGAGCCCTGCTGTGGAATGACTAGTTCTAAATTCCACTCTGCTTTACTTCAGGGCAGTATTTGGAAGCAAAGACCCCAGGAAGAGGTTGGGACACATGGTATTCCACAGAGCATTGAGCAATGAACTCATATTTGCATCCTGGGAAGATAAATAAATTCCCTTCTGTGACAGCTCAACTCTCCACTCATAGTACTCATCTCACACACCCAGAATGAGAAGAGAGGTGGGGCAATGTGAAGCCACACCGCCTGCAGGAGCCTGAGGGAAGAGTGTGAGAGAAGAAATACTCTTCTCAGCCTGCCCTGTGAGCTGTGGATTCTCCTCATCCCTGTCCTGTGTCTTGCATGCTCACTCTTGAAGGGTAGGAATAAGCAGAGACACAGGAACTGCCTATTGGGAGTAGATTCTGAGCAGTCACTAGGACAAGGGATCCTACCTCATGCTCAAGCGATTGCCTGATGGCTTGTTTGAATTTGGACCTGTGTATGTTGGAGAATTCCAATTGCTTACTTGCTTCAGAGTCCCTTATTTCCAAAGCTTTCATGATTTGCACTTTTAGCCTTGCAAAAAGCCTTTCAAGTTCCTCGACCTCCCACCGAATGGGCATATTGTCACAGGGCTCCCTACAGTGAGGCTTTCATGGAGATTTCATGCCAGGGACATTGAAGGAAAGACTGGTGAAAGGAGACCTCTGGTATGAACTGCTGGAAAGGAGCTCCACAGCAAAGAACCTTCTGGACCCAGGGTTGCAGGGATACCTGTCTCCTTCTCCTGGTTCCAGCAGAGCAGCCTCTTAAATACCTGTTGTTAGGACTGAAGATGAAAAATGCACTGGCATCAGGCATGGGCACAGCCTTTTCCTTGAGGTGCAGCTCCGACATCGGGCGAGGACGAGGGCCAACAGGCATCTCTGGTTCTTCCTCATCTTCCTCTGCTGCAAGAAGCAATGTTGTCTTTTAATGAAAAATACAGCCCATTCCAGAGTTCTGAGGTATTTGTCTCAATTAGAACTACAGCTATACACTTAGGATCACCAAAATAGGAAGGGGCATCTGCAAGGTTCCTTGTCCACTTCCCTTCTTCAAGGCAGCATCTGCTGCCCAGCATCCCTCCTGGCAGGCATTGATCTAGTCTGTCTGTAAAACCATCGATGCTGGTAAGTCCACAACTTCCTCATAATGGACTCTTCAGATGGTTAAATGTCCCTTCTACAAAAAAAAGGCTTCTTCTAATGACTATCCTTGCGGCAGTCTAAATCTGTTAACTATTGTCTTATTTTCCACGGCTCCTTTCAACAGCCTTTTATATAAGTGAGGTATGTTATTATGTCTCTGCTAGGTTTTCTGGTTCCCAGAGTAAAATAAAAGCAGTCTTTCCTGGTGCGTGCTGTTTCCTAGACCTCAGATAATTCTGCTACTTATCTTTGGACTTTCTTCTGCTTTTTCCCAGAACTTTCTTGCAGTACCTGCAGTTCAGGTCCTACTGATGCTGAGGGGAACTAGAATTCCTCTTATATCTTTTAATACTATTTTCTTGTTTGAACATCCTTTTTGGCCTTTTTTTTTTTAAATCACATTCTGACATTATTTTGCTATCAGTTTCTGATCTGTGTAAAGCACAGATTCTTTTTAGCAGAACTGTGACTGAACCTGTCATTCCCCACTTTGCATTTGTGCTGCAGACTATTCTCAAGAGTGGCATTTTGAACTCATCCTTATTGAACTGTATCTTATTTTCCTCAGATCATTCCTCCAATTTATCAAGACCCGCTTTTCTCCCCTTTCTCTGCGAGAGTACTGCATGGAGCCGTTGTCACATTTGGGGTTTGGTGCACATATATCCTGGAACAAGCATGGAGAATGGGCACTTTGTCTTACAACAATCAAAAATTCTTAAAATTATCACTTTTCAGAATACAGAAAAGAGAAGAATGAAAGGGCAGGCAACAAAGCTTAGACTTTTGAACCTGATGTCCATGAAGCAGGACTCCAGGCATTGTGCATATCGGTGACTACCCTCAAGGAAGAAAACAGAGATGGGGACTAAGGAGAATATGAGAGTACCTTCCACTTTTGCGGCTTTCTACTGCTGAAGTGAGAAGCTGTTTTGTAAATGACATGATAGGATCTTGCTATTTTAAGGTTCACGGTCCTCTCGATTAATTTGCAAGACAAAAAAATATTTTAAGAAAGGAGCCTGACGAATTAGATACAACTCATTAATCTTCCAGCTGAAGTAAAGAAGGAAACTTTTGTTAAAAGGTTTATCTGAACTCCATGAGGTAAGATAAATTCCAGAAAGAACCTGTTCCTTCAGGGTCAGATGCTGTGCTTGGCCTGGTAATGGATACAATAGAAAGAACAGATGAATCAGCATAGAACCTAATCTAGATATTACAGAGAGAAGGAAAGCAGCCTTTTCAATGCTGCTTTTATTGCATGCAAATAGGCTTCTCTCTGTATAATTCCAGTAAGCAGGAATTCAACTCAAATTCAGTTGATAAATTTTTGGATGAAAGTGTGAGCTGGTGAAATGAGTTTGTACTTTTTAAGCAGGTCTGTTTTCTAAGAGTTCCATTTTCTTTTGTAAAATAATTTATAATAGTCTTTCTACAGGCTTTATTAGTTTAAGAAGCATTCTTTCAGAACCACTTTTGTGTACAGTACTTGTAAAATTGGTGTTAATGTTAATGCTCATAATAAATATATAACTACATTTTTTTTTTGAATTTACAGTCACAGATTTCAAAGGAGTAGACTGGCCAACAGCAAGGGAGACAAGTACATCTTTTTTTCTTTTTTAGCAGTCTAGAATACCAATGTCCCTGATCACTTAGGATAGCTGAAAGCCTTCACTTAAAAGACCAGTGTTCTGAGTTCCAGTTCTCTGCCTTTACCATTGGATCACTCTCTATTTCACTCAGAGGAATGCTGAAAAAAAACCTCTTCCAAATGGACATGGAACAATGCCTTAGAAAAATAGACTCTTAATAGAAGGATCAGCTCTAGGAAGACCGTTAAGTACATTGTTCCTCTTTTTCCTCTTGTGTTTGCCATAGAGCAAGAAATATATTAACAAATTTGGCAACCATATAGCTGCAGACTGGAAAACACCTTCAGTCTCTCCGTCATGGAGAAAAAAAATGATGTTCTAAATACTTTTTCATTTACAGCAGTGTTCAGGGTCCAAGAGAAGAGAAAAGCTGAGCGACAAATACTCAAAGGGCAACACATGATTATAGCTTTAGTTCAAGCCACTACCTAATCTATCTGCCATTATAAAGAAACAGTATGTTGCATAGCTGCCAGCACGTATACAAGCACAGGTCAATGCTGTACTCATTAAGGGACTGGGTAGTACATCTGCTACAATCCAACATCCGCTCTCTGAATATATTTTACATGTAACGTACATTTGTGTTTAAGAAGTGATTTGCCTAGTGAAGGCTGCTGCAGAATCATAAAGAAAAGCTCAGATCTAGATTTGCCAAGATCTGCTGAGCTCAGATCTAGATTTCAACTCCCCCGAAGTTTAAGGAAATTCAAATCCAGGACTGCTGCCTTGAATTTTGTCTAATTAGAATGCTGGTGTCCTTTGGTTGTAAACTCATAGGCACACACATGAGGCTACAGTGTAGCATCAGTTAGAAATTTGATGGTGAGCATTTTTTTCTTGTTATGCAAAGACCAGAACTCCTGTGTAAGGGCATTTCTTTGCTTCAAGCTCCCATGAATCATCCCAAGTTTTAAGCTTCATCTGACGTGCTGGATTCTGTGTCTGTTTCTGTACTAGACTGCAAGACTTGCTCCCTGTCTCCCTGTAATAAACATATCATCATAATAAATGGTCCAGTATACACAAATCTCTGGTAGAAATAGTCTCCTCTTCCAACAAAGGGGATAGACAAACTGATGAGTTGAAAGTACATGGATGGTTCTGGGGGATAACAGCAGTACTGTCAAATACAGTCCAAAGAGATTGTGAAGAAAACTCTGGCTGAGGAAATGGAAACTAACAGGAGATTGAGTAAGGTTAAGTTTGAAGAATAAATGAAAAAAATAGATGAAGTGACTGTTTCAAATTGTTTTAGAACACTGTATTTGTGTGAAAGTTTTTCAGAGGATGGAATGACACACAGCCAAGTAAGACCTTAAACCATAAAATGAAATTTGGCAGAACCAGCTAACTGCATTTAACTTACTTACACAGCATCTCCGGCAGCACAGCTAGACTGATTAGCGATAAGCATAAGGACTTCAGAGTGGTCGGATGGACACAACAAAGTTGATAAAGGGACAGAGGTACACACTGGGTCTGGGAACTTGTTGCTTGCTAACCCCAGAGGAAGCCTTGGCACCTTGTTCCCCAGAACTGATGATCCAAGAGAGATGCTACAAGTCACGTAAGCTAGAGAGGGTCTTTGTATTGCAGAACTTTATATAGCAGAATGGAAGAGATGACTATGGTACATCTGATCTAATAAGGGTTTTATAAAAGTTTACACTATCTGAATGTGACAATAAATTCCATAAACTCTGAAAAAAGTGGTCAATTAAGGGCATGAGCTGCTGGTTCTCATTTTCAGCAAATAGCTAACACTTTCAGATGGTTTGAAAAGAAGAAAAATAAAGGAAAAACAAGAAAATCTTCACTTGAAAAAAAAAAGTAGGGGTCTGCAAATCAACACCAGTCAAGAACCAGGACCAAAGCTATCTCAGGCTGTTTTAGTATGTGCCAGTTACTAGGGACTCCCCCAAACCCTTTAGCAACTGAGGATGGGTATCCAGTAAGTGGCCTGTGCCTGCAGGGATGCTTGGAAGATTAAAGCTAGAGTACTCTTCCCCTAGCCAAGATAAAACAGTACTGCAGGGTATTAGAACCACAGTCTATTCCTGATTAATGGGCTACAAATACTGATGAACACAAGTGTAGGGGGGTAATCAACTGCAAGGAATAGTTTTCATTTTTGCCTATCTGAAACACCTGCCATCTAAAATGAATTATTTATTGTGGTTTTTTTTTACCCTACCAGATCAACTATTTACAGATTTTTATTAAGAACCACAGACTCAAAGAGAATGTGATTTATTACCTACTACAGACTGTTGCATAATCATAGAAACACAGAAAAAGAGAGCAAGGGTCAAAGAAGGCCCCCTAGTTCATGTTTCTGCCAAGCCAGGCTCATCAAATTATTATACGTACGGGTTTTCCAGTAGATATTTTTCCGACTTGGTCTTAACAACAGGTAAGTGATGCTGTGTTTCTACAACTATCTTCACAATCCATTCTGGCCTCACCATTAGAAAATTCTCCCTTAGTGTGATCTGGCCTGTTATTTGTAAAGCAGAAGAAAATACAGTTCTCTCCCTATCTGTAATAGACTTCTATGCATTTGAAAACCTCTTTCTTCAGTCTCCCCTATCCCAAACAAAAACGATTCTTTCAATCTTAGTTCCTGCCTTCCACTTTCATTACTTTCATGACTTTCCTCTAGACTGACTCCTTCCAATTGAATTCCACTTCTTCTAAGCACAGTTCCTCAAATGAGACACTCTAGCTGAGTAGTCTAGCTGTGATTTTCTTAATGGTGATCAGAATAAAAGAACCACTATGCTCTGGTTAGCTTTCACTGGCCTGTTAGAAGTAACCCATAAGTTGATTCAGAGTTCATGTTTTTCCTGTTTATAAATTCACAACTTGTTCGCCCTTTGCAAAATGGTACCATGTTTTTGGCTTGTTGAGCCTGTAATCCGCAACAAGATTCTTTTCTCAGGTCTGTTGACCAACTAGCTGCCACCTAAAATCCTTTATTTGTGAATTGTTTCTTCCTGCCTACAGGTTGAGCCTCACACTTCCAACTTTTTTTTAAACCATTTCTCCAGTTACTCAAGATCTTTTTGAATTCTAATGCTGCCCTCTAAACATTCTCCCAGCCCCTTCTAGCTACATGTCTTCTACAAATATAGCAAGCATACTTCCTACTCTATCACTCAGGTAATTAACATTGAAGCCAGGATGGGTCTTTGCACTGTAGAACCTCACTTAAGCAACTACTCTCTACATAAATGGTCTGACTGATTTCTCTCCCAGTCATCTAGACCATGTTTTTCTAGCTGGCTTATGAGCGCGTTGCAAGAGACAGAGTCACAAGCACTAGCAAAGTTAAAGTGTATGACATCTACTTTTCCTTCTCCATCTACAAATCCCATTGGACCCTTTGAGAAGAAAATTAGAGAGGTTTGACATGATTTGTTCTTGGCAAATCTATGTTGGCTGCTAGTCATTTCCTTATCTTGCAGTCATATAGTTTATTTAAGCATTTGTTCCAGCACTTCTCCAAGAATGGAAGTTTCGCTGACTAGCTTATAATTTCTCTGCTCCACCTCTCTTTAAAAGATTCAGCCTTCAGAACTTCTCAAAGCAAAACTGTTAGACCTTAGGAGGAAGATACTTAGGTCCAATTGT